AGTTTCCATCTCTTACTACTGAGAACAGTGCAAATAAAAAATAAAAAAATTGTAGGAACAATTTGTGTTTGTGTGGATGTGGTGAAAAAGAAACTCTTATCCACTGCTGGGGGGAATGTTGTTTGGTTCAAGTCCTGTGGAGAACAGTATGAAGACTCCTCATTAAACATAGAATTAAATTGCCATATGACTCAGCAATTCTACTTTTTGGGTCTACCCCCAGGACATAAAAACACTCATTTGAGAAGACACATGAACAGCATTTTTATTGCTGCACTCAGTACAATGGCTAAGATATGGAATCAATTTATGTGTCCAAAGACAGAGGAATGTATTATGAGGCTGTGGTATATAAACACAATGGAATAGTATGTAGCTGCCAGGAGTGATGAAATAATTCCTGGCAGCTACATAGAACGATGTAATAAATTTGCTTTGAACAACGAAATCATTTTGCTGCAACCTGGTTAGAACTGGAAGATATGTAAGTGAAGCCAGAAGAAAGAAAAATACAGGATGATCTCACTTATCTGCTGTATATAGAATAACTGGATGAGGAAGTGTACTGTCAGTAAAGCGGGGATGCCTAGATCATCCTTGACTGCAGAGTTTAGATAGAAGAAGGAAGGAGAAATAAAAGAAATCAAAGGGGAAAGAAGAAAAGTGGGAATAATTGGCGAAGACTGGTAGGGTTTTTAGTTATACTGGTGATGTGGGAGAATGGTATTGATATATATCCAAAATAGTATAGCTATATATCTAGACTCAACAACAATAAAAACACAAGATCTAAGCTGCAACCACTGGAACTTTGCGATGTGCCTGTCAAAGTTAAAGGTGAGGGGTGGAGCATGGAGGGGATGGTGGTAGGGATGGAATATGGTACAGTGGTGGAGCAAAGTTGACATTGGTGGTGGGATTGGTGATGAAATATTATATTCCTAAAACTAAAAAAAACCCTTCATTCAGAGAAACAGCTCTTAGTGTCATTGCTCTTTTGTATTATCTTTTTGGTTTCTATTTTATGGATTTACGCTCTAATTTTTAATTATTTCCTTCCTTTTTCCACCTTTAGTTCAATTTCTTCCTCTTTTTCTAGGTCCTTAAGATATAAGGTGGCATGTAAAAACATACCCCTGAAGTAGCTTTTGCTGTGTCCAAAAAGATCTGAGAACTTGTATCTTTTCTTTTTTTTCTGTGTAATTTGTATTTTCTTTATTTCCTGCTTATTGATTAAAGTTATTCGGAAGCATGTTTTTGTTTCTGCATGTTTGATTTTCTCATTTCCTTCGTTTTTTATTTAACTCATAATAAAGAAAATTTTCTTTACAAATAAAATTTTATTGGCTAATAATAAAAAGATGCATATTTTATTATTTCATTCTTCATGTATTTATTAATAATTGCTTAATAATTTATTAATACTTATCTGTGTCCCAACAAGGTAGCTATACTTGAGAATGTCCCAGGTGACCTTAAGAAGCATATATATTCATTTATTTGGGGATAGAATTTTCTATATGTAGCTAATATGATTGTCTCTTCAATTACTTAATTCGACCCGGGTTCGATTCCTCCGTCCCTCTCAGAGAGCCTGGCAAGCTACCGAGAGTATCCCGCCTGCATGTCAGAGACTGGCAAGCTCCCCGTGGCATATTCAATATGCCAAACACATTAAAAACAAGTCTCGGGGCTGGAACGATAGCACAGCGGGTAGGGCGTTTGCCTTGCACGCAGCCAACATAGCCGACACAGGTTCGATTCCCAGCATCCCATATGGTCCCCCGAGCACCGCCAGGAGTGATTCCTGAGTGCATGAGCCAGGAGTAAGCCCTGGGCATTGCCGGGTGTGACCCAAAAAGCAAAAAAAAAAAAAAAGTCTCACAATGGAGATGTTACTGCTGCCTGCTCGAGCAAATTGATGAACATCTAGAGGACAGTGCTACAGTGCTACTTTATTTTTAATTCTTAGGGTAATCTGCCCATTTGCTGTAAGGTGTGTGGACATCACTTACTATGATTGTGTTTCTGTAAATGTATCCCTGAAGGTCTTTTAATAATTGCACTGTATATTTGTATGTACCTCTGGTAGGTTCATAAATATTGATAACCATTATATAGTCTTGATCTTGATGGATTGATGCTTCAATAATTATATAGTATCTTGTGGATCATGGTAACAGGCACTGGAGCAGATAAGACCCAACCTTGCAAAGTGGCCCAGAAGCGAAGCCTCACAAGAAGGAGTATCTAGGCAAAGTTGGCAAGAACAGTGTGTCAGCCACCACCACCAGGTGTTCGGCTTTGAGTCTCACTCAACCTCCTAGACACATAAACCGTCACGTATGCTTAGCAAGTCATCTTAACTGCAGCATCTAGCATTGATTGGGATTGGACTGGGGCAAAGCAGAGTTGGAGAGATGATAGGCCAATAATGCTGAACTTCATGTGATTGGAGTTTCTTGTAAGCCAAGACCCTCTATAAAATTTGTGTGTATTTGGTAATAAGGTGAACAGCTATCAGTTGCTCCTGGAGGGTGTTCCTCCATGCACCCATCATCCTTTGCCCCACATCTTCCCGGACCCAGTGCGCAAAGTGTCCGGGCACTATTGGGGGAAAACTGTTCCCCAACAGTATCTGTCTTTGTGTCTGATAATCTTATTCCTCTGAAAGTCTATTTTATGACAGAAGACAGTAACAATTTATTATTTTTTAATTTTTGGCTTTTTAGGTCACACCCAGCAATGCTCCTGGCTCTGTGCTCAGGAATTACTTCTGTCAGTGCTTGGGGGCCCATATGGGATGCCAGGAATTGAACCAGGGTTGGCCCCATGCAAAGCAAACGCCCTACTCGCTTTACTATCGCTCCGGCCCGCCAAACTTATTTTTATATGTTTCTATTACTGACAAGGAACTCTTTGCTACAAGTTTTAATCCGGAATCTCTCTTTTATCTGAAGAAAGATATGCTTCCTCTTGTAAGCATAATATAGAAAATGTTGCATTTATATCCACCCAGTCACTGCATTTTCATTGGTAAGTTCAGAACATGCATATTTAGGGTAATTATTGACATATGGGGCATACTTATTGGAATCTCTTATTTTCTGTTTCTAAAATATATCTATTTCATTTGTTTCACTCTGTCTCTTCACATGGATTGTTTTCCTTGATTATTCTCCAAATTTCTTCATTTTTCAGGAACAAGTCTCTTGCACCTGGATTTTGTTTTATGGTTACCCTGATGATTACAACAAACTATATATAATTAAAATATCCCTTTTTGTGTTGGTATCAACTTGCTGTCATTTGACTATACATATATTTTAATAATGATTTGTATTTGGGTGCTCTTTCAGTTTCATGGGCATCTATAGTTAGTTATTTTCTTAGTTTGGGAAACATCTCAATTATTGAATATAGTTTGTGCTCTTCTTGAAATGCCCATTTCTGATATTTTCTCTTCTAATGAAGTCAGCTATCTATCATATGGTTTTATTTTTTTGTTTTGTTTTGGGGACACACCTGGCATTGTTCAAATCTTCCTCCTGGCTCTGTGCTCAGAAGTGATTCCTGATGGTGCTTAGGAGACCATATGTGGTGTCAGATTCAAACCTGGGTCAGCAATTTGCAAGGCATGTGCCTTACTTGCTGTAGTATCTCACTGGCCCCTCTCAGAGTTTTTCCATTTTCCCTAAATTAAAAAAATTATTAAATAATCACAATTTACAAACTTAATAGTTGAGTTTTAGGCATATAATAATTCAACATCAATCCCTCTACCAGTGTCAACTTTCCTCCACCAGTTTTTCCTCCCCATCCGAACCCCCATTTCAACCCTGCCTGCCAACTATGGAATATAGAATATTGGATAAGGAAATGTATTGTAGTAAAAGGGGGATGCCTCAATCACCCTTGACCCTAGTGTTTAGAGATGAGATAGAAATTATTCCTAAATCTTATTTCTTTTTGTCCATTTGAATTGTTGAATTCATGCCATTTTATCTTCTAAAGATTTGATCTTATCAGAAATTTATCTCCAATTACAGGTATTTTTTCCTCTGTGAGCATGTATTTGCTGGCTATAATTTTAATGTCTTGGGTGAGAAATCCTTGTGCTCTTACAGCTCTTTTTGATATACTGAAGATGCTTTTCTGTGATTCTCTAGCGTCATTAATTTTCATTATGAAAGTGCTTAAAATTTCCTTGTCTATAACCCCCTTCCTTTTTGTGATTTGAATGGAAGTGTTGCTTGCTGGGTCTATTCTGCCATATGAACACCAATTATATCAAACCTAAAAATCATTTCTACATTTAATGAAATCTATGGTCCATAATTAAGGCTTACAATTTCTCTTATTGTAATAGTAATTTATAACTACAAAAATAATGTAGGTAGCAATGAAAAGAAGAACAGCAATCAGAAGATTGTACAAATTAATACTATTAATCTTAAAACAATCATTATGTTAATAAGGTGAAAATATGGTCTAATCAGATCATTTCAATTAGCTATGGTGCTTTTAGCAACAACCAGATCTATAAGAGAGAATGGGTTTCACATTGTTGAATTCCCTATTCATCCTTGGTCATGGTGTACTGGACATCCTTCTTGAATTTTAGGTCTTGGTATAGAGATGAATTTCAAAGCTCAATAAATATTTGTATTACTATTTAGGGGAAAATACGATTTAAACCTGAAACTTATCTAACCTTAATTTTCAGCGCAGTCAGAATTTTGTGTAAATACACCTCATGTGCAAATTTATAAATACATATATAGATAAGCAGCAAAGAGTCTGATTCCCTTTATTATCACAAAGATCCTATAGATATGATTTATAATCTTCAGTGGAATTAAAGACTCCAAGAAGTATTTTGAACTCTGCTTTATTTGAAAAGATAAATGAAATGAATCTCTGGCAAGGTATATATTACATTTAGAGTTTCACAGGTTGGGGAGCAGAAATTAAGAAAGAAAAAAAATATATAAGGTTTGAATCAAGAGACTAATTTCAGTCACTAAATGAAATAAGTTGTAAAGTCCTGAAATATCTATCTGTACAGAAAGAATTTAATGGAATACTCTTAAATTGTAAATGGTTCAATCCAACATTGTGACTTCTTTTGATGACTGAAATAGTTCTTAACAGAAACTTGGTAAGAATCATGGGACATGTAGTGTCCTAGGAATGAAAAAAAGAAATTCACAATTGAGTAAAGCAACTGAACTATGCACATGACAACATCCATTGAGAATATTATGGAATCATTAACATTATGTTTATGACATGTATTAGCATTGGAAAACAAAAAAAATCATGATGTTAGCTAGTAACTAACTCCATGTTAGTGGATAACTCCAACTCCATGTCTAGCATATGCAAGGCCCTTCATTGTATTCCTGAGCTCCTGGTGGTTTATGAGAACTTGCAGAAATAGCCCTGATGGCCCACAATTACTGATGTCATGTCGGGGGTCATATTAAAAAAGAACAATACAAATTTGTGTCTGGAGCGACAGCACAGCGGGTAGGGCGTTTGCCTAGCACGTGGCCGACTTGGGTTCAATTCCTCCCTCCCTCTCAGAGAGCCCGGCAAGCTACTGAGAGTATCCCACCCGCATGGCAGAGCCTAGCATATTCTATATGCCAAACACAGTAACAACAAATCTCACAATGGAGACATTACTGCTGCCCGCTTGAGCAAATTGATGAACAACGGGAGGACAGGGCTACATATTTGTGTACACAATGTTATTATTATTTTTAACCCAGAAATGGTTAAATGGTTAAATCTATAACCCAGAAATGGTTAAATCTATAATATGATACAGAAAATAGCACTGTCTGTAGCATATATTTATAGCTTATTGGTATAAATATACATTTCAATTATTATTTGTATCACGATCACGATCATTCCGTTTTTCGTTGATTGCCTCGAGCAGGCACCAATAATGTCTCCTTCGTCCTAGCCCTGAGATTCTAAAAAGTGCCACATTCAAGGCTCTTTCAGGGTTAGGAGAATGAGACCCATCATTGTTACTGGTATTTGGCATATTGGGTACACCACGGGGAGTTTGCCAGACTCTGCTGTGTGGGCAGGTTACATTCGGTAGCCTGCCAGGTTGTCCAAAGCAAGAATGAGATAATAAGATATCACAGCGCTGGGAATACGGCCGCACTTCTGGGAGCTGGGTTTTATAGTGTCTGGGTCTTGGCCGTTAATGGGATTACACAGCGTGGGGGCGGGGGGGAGGGGGGACAGTTGGTGGGTGTGACCCCCGCCTACTGGAAGATGAAGAATCTGGGTGGAGGATGCTCAGCCCCAATCAGAGCAGGCTTGGAGATCTCAGCCTCGGGATCCACGTGTCTGTGTTCCTCTGCCGGTACCTTCATGCGTGTGGAGAGTAGTCTCAGCATGGCTGTGGATGGTTCTGAAGGTCTTCAGCTGCCGGAGCTCTGCTCAGGGTGGGAAGGGAAACTCAACCCGACCCTCTCCAAGGGCCCCATCGAGGACAGCCAGGCGCGGGGGCAGGAGACTCTGCCATTATTTGTATATCATTCAGATAAATTCATAGGTGTGGTATTGTTGTGCAATATGGAACTTGCTTTTTTAAAAGAAACCTCCAAGCTGTTTTTCACATCAACGGTACATCCTCATACAATATATAATAGTTCCTTTTAATCGACATTCTTTAATACTTACCACTTTTAATATTTTTGACAGTCAATTCTCACAGGTGTGAGGTGACATATCATTGTGTTTTTTTTTGTTTTCATTTAGCTAAAAATAAGTGACAGTGAGCATCTGTTCATGTAAGTACTGAAATAACATCAAGCACCTTTTCTGATCACAATGGAATGGCATGAGATTAGAAATCAACAATGAAAAGAAAATAGGAAAAATGTCAAAAATGTGGAGACCGAACAACATGCTTTGAATAACTGAGTTAATTAAAAAATCAAAGGGGAAATAAAAATTTACCTGGAGAATAATGAAACAAATACATGAGCTATTACATCTTATAGTATATGGCAAAAGTATTTCATTGCTATACAGAGCCATGCAAACAAGAACGTTTCAAATGTCTGAAGGATCTATAAAGGAAGAACAGACAAAACTAACAGTCCGCAGAAGGTAGGAAACAATAGGAAAGTTAGGAAAGTGAAAAATAAATGAAACAGATACAAAAATCTGCTATAAAAATCAATAAAACTAAGGTGTGACTCTTTTAAGAGTCAATAAAATTTATAAGCCTTCTCATTTGGCTCACCAAGATGAGAGAAAACTTTGATAAAATTAATCAGAAGTGAAAAATCCAGGTTACAACTGATTCTGCAGAAGTACTAAAGATCACGAGACTAGTGTGTGTTTCAAAAGTCCAGTGGCGCTCTATCTCTCCTGCTGCTTGCGTTCGGTGGCCTCATATCACTTCCCCTACCCCGGGGAGGTCGATGGCGATGGTGAGGCGAAGAAAGGAAACGAGGGCCATGCTAGTCAGTATCAATTGTAGTTTATTCCAATCTTCTGCACCCGTGCCTGGCTGTCCTCGCCTGGGCCCCTTGGAGGGGAGCGGGTTGAGTTTTCCTCCCTGCCCTGACCAGGGCTCTGGCAGCCGAAGACCTCCAGAACCAGCTACCACCATGCTGAGACCACTCTCCGCACACATGAAGGTACCTGCAGAGGAACAAAGGCACGCGGATCCCGGGGCTGAGATCTCCAAGCCTACTCGGATCGGGACTGAGCATCCTCCACCCAGATCCCCCGAATTCCAGTAGGCGGGGGTCACACCCACCAACTGGCCCCCTAGCGCCGTGTAATCCCATCAACGGCCAAGACTCAGAGACTATAAAACTCAGCTCCCGGAAGCGTGCGGCCTCATTTGCGGCCACGTGACATTTTATTATCTCATTCCTACTTTGGACATACTGGCAGGCTACCGAATGTAACCTGCCCACACAGCAGAGTCTGGCAAACTCCCCGTGGCGTACCCAATATGCCAAATACCAGTAACAATGATGGGTCTCATTCTCCTAAAGAGACTTGAATATGGCACTTTCTTAAAAATCTCAGGGCTAGGATGAAAGAGACGTTACTGGGGCCTGCTCGAGGCAATCGACGAATCTTCACTCTCACCTTTGACTCTGTCCTCTGGAGCCCGTACCTCAGCTTGAGCCTCTGCCTGAGCCTCAGTCTCTGCTCTCTTGAGCCCAAGCCTGAGCCCGAACTTGAGCCTGAGTCTGAGCCTCAGCCTCCTCCTCAGCCTGAGCCTTCTCCCTTCGCTCTCTCGAGCCCCAGCCCCCTTCGAGCTTACAGTCTTAGTTTATATAGCAATCACGTAGGGTGGTGACATAAAGGTGGGTTGAACATTAACAAATCAGCAAAGAGAGGTAAGACCACTCCTCGAGGAGATTAACTCAAGGATAAAATCTCATCTAAAGAGATTATTCTAGATTACTAGGAGATCTACTCAAGGATGGGGTCCCAACAAGGGTGTATTCTTTCCTCAGCTAATAATCTACTTAAATAGTTTAGTAAGTCTACTTCCAATATTTCTAGCAATGTCATCTGTATGAGCACAGTAAGAGATAAACTTACAGTTTGGTTCTTCCTGAGGACATCTCACTATATATTCTGCTATATATGACACTACCTCCACTACCCAGCCTCCACCACACTCCAGGACGCTTTCCAGACCCGTGTGGCAGCTCTGGCTGAGACTCAAGCATGACTGAAGACCCACAGAACAAGATAAACGAAACTCTCTGAGACCTTGGACTCCAGGCTCAACGGACCCAGGGACAGAGATTCTTTGCTTGCTCCCACCAACCACAGGTGACAAAGCGATTATAATCAGGGCCCCACCCTACCCTGCTCTGTCTGCTTCCACCAACCATCAGAGACCCAGGGATCAGATTGCGCACAGAAGACCCACCCTACCCCTACCGGGACCAGATAAATACCCCACTGGCAGACCTCCACTACCAACACTACCTCCACTACCCAGCTGCCGCCACACTCCAGGACGCTTTCTGGACCTGTGTGGCCGCTTTGCGGCCGTGCGACACATCATAAGACACTAAATACCCATCTTCCGGAATTGCCTTACCATATTTGATAGAGTTCAAATATGGTAACACCTACGAGGGTGTTTAGAGGTCGCCCCAAAAGCCTCTATCCCTCTCTGAAAGACTGGCAAGCTACTGAGAGTATTCTGCCCGCATGGCAGAGCCTGGCAAGCTATCCGTTGTATACTTGATATGCCAAAACCAGTAATTACAACTGGTCTCATTCACCTGACCCTGAAGGCTTCACAGACATGGCAGCACTGAGAAGGATGAGAAAGGAGAGGCCGATAAAATCTCAAGGCCGAACTAGGCTGCCAAAACGAAGGAAGACAAAAATGATCGTCTGTACTTTCAATGCATGTATGCTAGCATCAGATATATATATATATATATATATATATATATATATATATAATATATCATAGGGCTGGAGCGATAGCACAGCGGGTAGGGCGTTCGCCTTACAAGCGGCCAACATGGCCGACCCGAGTTCGATTCCTCCGCCCCTCTCGGAGAGCCCGGCAAGCTACCGAGAGTATTCGATATGCCAGACACAGTAACAACAAAGTCTCCAATGGAGACGTTACTGGGCCCGCTCGAGCAAATCATATATGTGTATATATATATATTACAGTCCTCAGGCCAGGTTAGTCTTCCTAACCCCAGCAGGGTCCTAGTCTCATCGTTATTTACTTTTGGATCATGACAGCATTTGTCCATGATAGTGCCCTCAACTTATAGTTGAGTATCATGGCTCTTTGGCCTGGCCCATTTCGACCAGGGTAGCTCACAGCTTGCCCTGGTCCATTCAGTCCCTTGTCGGGACCCTGCTTTTGGGGTGCTAGGAACTAAATAAGGGCAACTGAGTCTAGAAAGTAGATGCCGAGGAGTACATATTATTCGGAGTCAATCAACATCCAAGTTACAAAGCATAATATTAACTGTCTTCCTGTGTTCATACAGAAAGGACATTGCTTTAAGGTAAACTATGCAAAGGACATAAATTACAATACAAGTTCAGTGTCCTTGGAAGGATCTGATATTACAAGTTAATAGACTCTGATTAGGGAGAAAAGGTGATTAACTGGATGGGGAGGAGAGCACAGAGAAGAG